GCTTTACAGCCCTCTCTAAGCGGTTTACAGAGCCAGCATGTTGCCCCCAACAATCTGGGTCCTCATTTTACCCACTTCAGGACAGAAGGCTGAGTCAACCTGGAGCTTGGTGAGATTCGAACTGCCACATTGCAGGCAGCTGGCAGTCAGCAGAAGCAGCCTGTAGTACTGCATTCTAACCCCTGCGCCACCGCAGCTCCTAAAGGATGAAAGTGGTCTTCCAGATAGAACACTACAAATCTTAGCAACGCCACTCAAGGCATCCAAATGCAATACTTGTCAACATTTCATCTCTAACGCCTGGTTGATCTAGATCAGGGGTGTCAAACTCCAGGCCTGCACTTAGATCTGGCCCAAGGGGCCACCCTGGACACAGCGGACTGGCCTGCTGTGCCTCTGCCAGCAAAAACAGAGCTCAGGGGGGCCCCTAACACAAGTGACGTTGAGCTGGCCATGCATACCTGGCCCCGAGGCCAAACACAACCCTGATGCGGCCTTCAATGAAATCGAGTTTGATTCCCCTACTCTAGATGGAGCTGAACAATCTTCAGAATGCATTCTGGAGCTCAAGAGATAATGCACAGTGCATTTTCTTCATCCGTCAGTGGCTACAGGTCTCTTCTAATAAATCTGAGAGCCGTGTTCAGCTGAAGAATCGTTCTTATTAGAGCTTATCCACAGCCTGAAGCTTTCTTAATGTTTGGGTTGCTGACGGCAACACGACGACTAAAAAGGGAGACAGACCAAGCACTAAGAACAGAGGCAAAGAAACCTGCGGAGTTGTGACCCTGTTATTTAGCCACAGAACAAGATGGCTGCCGCTGTCTCAGTGAGCTGTTTGTAACCTACTTGAACTGCTCCGTTAACTGCACTGCCTGGTGCTCCTGTGGGTGGCGCCTCATGTGACACTTCAAGCTATTCATACTTGTGGTGGCGAAGTCACAGACGCGGCATCTGAAGAAAAGCAAAGAAAGGGTTGACTCCAACAGTCTTGCGCCCCCTTGGCATTTTAAGGCCCCAGCGTTAAATATTAAAGAAAAAAAATGTTTTGGAAAATTAGCAACGCTTCCAGGTTTGATCACTTGCAACCCAAAAGTCAAACGTGGCTTTCCTTTACTTCCCAACTCACTTTCTGATGGGATAGAAAGAAAATTCTGGTTGGGGGATTCTGGAAGCAACCGTCGGCGAAAGGCTGGTCAAGTTTATTAAGAGAAGGTTGCAGAGGTGGGATTCAGCAGGTTCTGACCAGTTCTGGAGAACCCGAAGTGAATATTTTGAGTAGTTTGGAGAACTGGCAAATCCCACCTCTGACTGGAGATTTTACAGTAACCTTCCCCTGCCACACCCATCAATGGGCATGACAGGTAGCAAAAAAATTTGAATCCCACTACTGGACAGCTACCATTAAGATTGCAAAATCACAAGTCAAGAGTCCATTCCAGATGTTGGCAACCTATTTAAGCAAGGAAGCAGAGAGACAGTGATCTGCCAAAGTCTGAAAACCCCACAGCCTTTGCAAAAATGGCTGCTAAATTGTTCACTATGACAGGATGGGGAAATATATGGACCGTAGCCCTGTAACTGAATTTAACAATTAGATGAAAAAGCAGATTCAGATTTATTTACATCTCAAGCCTTGCCTTACTTTAGAATGCAATCTCTGAAATGTTCCTGAGAGGTGACTTTGGCTTGACAAACCTCAGTTGACTGCTTTCAAGCTCTCTCTGAACGTTTTAAATGGAATATTCTAAGCGTTCACGTGTCTTTTGCAAATGGGACTCTCTAAAAAGCCAGGCTTAACCCACTTGATTTAATAATTTAGTGGGTAAAATTTAGGTTTGAATTCTGCCAATGAAAACAGGCAATACCTATGGCAAGCAGATGCGTAGGAAACAGTGCGCAGAAGGATGGAGGACTCTATTTCAAGAAGAAATCTCTGATCGTTTATTTATGCCCTTCTTCAAAATCAGAATAGTTCAAATTACCTGCCGGTTGCCGCATTAAGAAACAAACAAAACAAAATCGGCTTAAAATACAGATTATCTTCACCTGTATGGCTTATCCGAGTTGTGAATCCGTCTGTGATTCCTCACGCCAACATACGTTGTGCTTGTGTAATCACAAATGTCGCAACGGTAAAGTTTCTGGACTGAAATCTTGTCCCCTGTAACAAGAACATCAGAAGACATTGGTTCTCCTTCAACACTGGTTTCCACCAGGCCTAATTAGATGCCCGTGAGGACCCTCTAAGCTGCAAATAAAATACGGGGAAGGACACCATGAAGCACAGCCCACTGACAGGGAAAGGTAAGCTGAGCTATGCTGTTGACCAGCTACTTATTTCTTTATTAAATTTATAGGCTGTCTATCTTGCTATCAAGATAAACTCTGGGTGGCCTTGGTGAACTTATCCTCTTCATCCTTTCCAACCATGTAGATCGGCAGCTTTCATTACCACAGTTTTTAAGGGATGCTGCCTTTCAATGGTCTTTCAATGAGCTGCGGTGGCACAGTGGTTAAGAGTGCAGTCTTGCAGGCTACTTCTGCTGCCTGCCGGCTGCCTGCAATTTGGCAGATCGAATCCCTTTAATGTTTATAAGTGCAGCCACCGTGATTTTCTAAGCAGGGAAGGCATGTTCCTGGCTCAAGGGATTGACGTGCAAGCAGCTGCTGTGCCATAAACTTTGGGGTTTTTTTATAGAGGCGGCATCTGTTTGACAAGAGGGTTTCCTTCCTGCAATTGTATCTTAATTTGATTGCAAAGGGCTTCCAAAATGCTTCGGAAAGCTAGCGTTCTCTTTTAATGAATACAATTAAAAAGGAAATGGTGTTAAGTGAAGGCAGGCTTCTGACATGAGCTTTTCAAATAAAAAGATACTTTAAGATACTAACCAGGCAGGAAAAAAACCCTACACCCTCCCTTTAAAAAAAAAAAAAAGCAATGAGCAATCAAGAAAAAATGCAGACAAACACTAATCTCTGCATCCAGATGAAGGAATAAGAAAAAGAACATCCCACCCTCAAATAATTCATCATTATTCAGTGACAAAAGGCCTGAAATAAGGGTAGCTGAGGAACATTCCCCTCTCTCAATTCTCCAAGGAATCTTTCTCCCCACAATTATCAGATTCTATTTGTGCAACTGGAGAAATAAAGGATGAATTTACAATGGCCTTCTTGCAAACTGGCACCCTTTAGAGCAGGCGTCTCCAAGCTTGGCAACTTGTGGACTTCAACTCCCAGAATTCCCCAGACACCTTGGGAGTTGAGTGGGAGTTCATGCTGGGAGTTGAAGTCCACCAGTCTTAAAGTGGCCCCGTTTGGAGATCCCGGAGCTTTAGACCAACGATTCTCAAACTCAGCAAACTTTAAGACTCGTGGGATTCTGGGAGTTGAAGTCCACGGCTCTTAAAAGTCTCTTGAGATGAAGAAACACTGCTCTCGATCTACCATGTTATAACTCCTGAAACTGTCAGTCAGCGGAGCCAAAGAGATGAGTAGTGCAGCATTTTGGAGGGTACCAAGAGAGAGAGAGAGAAGGAACATCCTGGCCATTCTCACAATCACCCAGGCCACGGTGTACAAAAGGAACCCAATCCAACCCACAAAACTAGCCAATGAGATAGACAGTACCAACTCTTTCATCTGCTTCACTGCAAGCCATTAAGCCGTCAAACGTTGGGGTTGCATATGTATCTGTGAGACAATGCTGTTCTCTTTCGTGACTGCGCAGCTGACTCTGGAACACAAAACAGTCGCATCAATGTTAAAACAATGCTGTTAATCCCTAACTCCAAACTCAGTTGGGCATTCTTTTATGCCGTAAGCATTGATGACAGTGGATGAACTAACAATGTCCGCGCATGACTCAAAGCCACACTTTTAACAGCAGTTTGATAACTGAACCCACATGGGTTGGATGCTTCCATCTTGCTAGGTTGTCGGTCATAGTTTAAAAGTCGAAACAGCTTAGTTCACACAGCATGAGGTGCCACTGTGTAAACTTGGTCAATACCTAATCCTGGTGAAGAGAATGTGGGGGAAGTTACTGCATACAATAAGAGGGGTTATAGGAAATCCTACGAGATAACTGGAGATAATTTTCAATCTAAAACAGTGTTTTTCAAACCTGGCAACTTTTAAGGTATACGGACTTCATATCCCAGAATTCCCCAATTTAACTTAGCCTGGCATGTTGAGTTCACAAGTTCAGAATTCTGGGAGTTGAAGTCCACACATTTTTTAAAATTTCTAAATTTGGAAAAGGCTAATCTAAACAAACTACATTTGCTTGACTCATGTGTGATTATTAAAAACAATGCACCAATGATTGCAGCCATATAGAAATCTAATAAAGATGATTAATTCTAAAGGATTAATCATTTTTGACAACCTGAAAAAAAGTTTTGTTTGCAATACTGCTTGCCACCACTCCATTGCTTTGCCAAGCTACCGCTAGAAAGAAACATACCATGATGAACAGCTGCAGGGTTCAGGTATGTCTAGTCTAATAAAGAGAAGAACCAGGGTATGGTATGATAGCATTCTTCTAATACTTGAGGGGCTTCCAAGAGAAGAAGCGGTCAACCCGTTCTCCAAAGTACCTGAAGGCAGGTCAAGAAGCAATGGATCCAACTTGGAACTAAGGAGAAATTTCCTGACAGGAAGAACAATGACATTCTACTGACAGCGAGTGAATGGGAATAGTTTGCCTCCCAGAGTTGGGGCTGCTCCATCACGGGAGGTTTTCAAGAAGAGAGTGGACAGCTATTTGTCTGGAAAGGTTATAGGGTCTGCTGAGGAACAGTGGGTTGGACTAGAGGACCTCCAAGGTCCCTTCTAACCCTGTTATTCTATGTTCTGTGTTTTGCACAAGTCCCAGAGGTCCCCACAAGCGGGACCACAATTAGAAACCACAGCGGTGGGTTGTATTAAACGAGCAGAGGATAACATACTTGCCACCCCACCAATTCACTTGAATTCTAAGCCCCGCCCCCAAGGGCTGGGCGTTTGATGAACGCAAAGCGCAGCTGCTCACCTTATAATGAAAGGATTCCTCACACTGCTTGCACTGGTACATTCGGGTTTTGCAGTGATTGATCATGTGACTTTCTAAATCCTTGCTGTGGTCGGCCACATGCTCACAAATCGGGCACTGGTAAGGCTGCCTCTGCCGATGGACCCGCAAATGCTGCTTGATGTAGCCTTTGTTGCCGCTGCTGTAGTGGCACAGGCGACACCGGAAGGGCCGTTCCGCGTCAGGGATGTATTCCACCAGACTGCTCCCAAGCACGCTGGCATCCCCCGACGGTTGGCACTGAACGTTATCCTGCAGCTCCTTCAAAATGTCGTCGTCGGAGGCATTCTGGTCCGTCCTCTCTTTCAACTTCTCAATCACGGTCAGCAGCGACATGCTGATGCCCATTTTAATGGGGCCTTCGGGGAGCTCCGGTTTATCCTTCTGCAGTTCCACGAAAGCCCTTTCCTCTTGGTTCAGGCTACCCAGTTCCTCCGTCTTCAGGGAGGCAATCCGTTTAGAATGGCCTAAATAGCCACCGTCGGGAGGCCTCTGCCCAGTCTCTGAGCTTAAAGGGTTGACGTCGGCAAAAGCCCGGAAGCTGGATCGAGCAAGCTCCGCGGCTCGGATTGGCATCGTAACCAAGGCTTCGGCGGCGAGCGAGTGCAGCCTCAAAGACTCTGAATTGGTTCTCCTCCGGGCAGGTGGAGCATTTTCGTCAGCCATTTTAGCCCGGCTGGGATTCGGGTTATCTTCGGCCTTTTCCGTGCTGCTCCACCCAATGATAACTTCTTCGATTTCAATCGAATTCTTATCCATGTGATAAACGTCATCCGACGCATCCCGCCCAGCCGGCGGGTGTTCGGGGGCGGCGCCCACCGAGTAATGCAAGACATTATCCATGACGTCGTTCTGCAAGACGGGCTCTTCGGCACTGGGCAGGCGCTCCACAATGACGTTGACATGGCCCTTTTTGTTGGGGCTGCAGTGGATGATTTTCTGGGCCGAAGAAAGCAAGCTGTCAGCCCCCAAGTGATCCGCCTCCAGATCTTCATGCGACGCCTTCTCCTCCGATAATTGGTCTGCAGGGGAAAGCGCAGCTGGCTGACCGAGGGATGGCTCTTCTTTGATGGGCGATTCAGTTTTGAAAGCCACCGGCTCGGGGCTGCAAATGCGAAGTTGTACGGGCTGGTTATTGCAGAGCCCCGGCTCGTTATTGTCGAGGGACAGGACGACGGTATCCAACATGGCAGAATCCGGCAAGGTGGCCTGCTCTTTTTCTTCCTCGAATATGGGATAGGAGCAATTCACCTCGCCCGCATGCTTCCAAGCGTGCGTTTTCAACATTCGTTGCTGTCCACACGTGTAGCTGCAAATCAAGCACCGGTACATGCCGTATTGCTCGTAAGTGTACCATTTCCGCCTCCCTTTCTCAGGCCCTTGGGGAGGTGTCATCTCATGATCGCTGCCGATGATGACTTTTTCGACTGGCCCAGGCAAAGCGGTGCCCGAAGGGCCGATGCAATGCTCTTCCTTCAACAGGGCGTGGATTTTGCTGCTGTTCTCCGGGTGACTTCGAATGTGAGTTTCAAAATCCTCTACGCTCCGGGTGGTGAAACTGCAGACTGAGCACATGAGCATGACTTCGTTCTGCTGACCGTGTTGCTTGATGTGCTCCTGTAAGAGGGGAAGAGTGGGCGACACCGACTTGCAGAGGCTGCACTCATAGCAAAGGACCTTCCGCTTGCTCTGCGGAGGGTCGTCCATCGTGTAATAGTCTTCTATGTTGATGGTGCCCAGAGCAGGCAATTCCAGGGCTTTGGGTGGGGCCTCTGGAAGGCTGGGGGTGTCGGGGTACAAGCGTTTCCCCCCGATCAAAACGCATTTCTGTGACTTTTCGCTTTTGACAATTTTGCTGAGCTTTTGGATGACCTGGATGAGGGGATCAGGTTTACCCTTTAATGGGTCATCGGCGTTCTCTGCGGATGAGCTTACGATGGCTTCGGAAATCAGGACGGCTTCCTGCTCCCTCAGATTTGAGATTAGGGCAATGATGTTACCGCCTTCTTCCATAATACCTAAAATGGCAATAAACAAACAAACAATAAACTGATGCTTGGGCTACAGACGGAAGCCTCCAGCTTGTAAAGTAGAGAAGAAAAAGATGTATATTTTTGGGCTATAAACATGTCTTTTTCATTTTACTGGCTATGATAGGGATCTCTAACCCCCGGTCCATGGATCAACATCGGGACACGGCATGCCAGAAACCAGACCACACAAACAAGCAAAGGCCCATCTGTGGGCTACAAGGCAGCATTTGAAACCATGCCATCTCCAGTCTGTGGAAAAACCTCTCTCCATGGAACTGGTCCCTGGTGCCCAAAAGGTTGGGGGCCACTGGTATATGACACGATCTGTTTCATCATCAGTAATTTGAAGTACTATGTGCAATTAACTACAGGAACAGGATGCTTCTTTAATTAAGAAATGATCTTTTGCATGTGATGCAGGAAAAGGCTCCTGCGTATTCTCTGGACAGCAGAGAGGACTAACAAGCAAGTTCCAGAGTGTATAACCCCAGACATTATCACTAGCAGGTAAAATCACAAAGCCGCATCTCGCTTACTTTGACCATGTCATGTGGGGGAATTCACTGGAGAAAGCATTTGCATTTGGAAGAGTTAGCAATAAAAAGAAATTAGGCCACCAGAGAACACAGAGGCTGGACACTAATAAAGGTGACACCAACCAGAACAACAGGAAAAGTCAAAGTAGTAGCGCAAGATCCAAAGATGTGCAGAGACCTGCCCTGAAGAATAATCAAGAGTTGGATATGACTGAATGGACATCATCATCATCATCTTTCACATGATGGACTTACCAAGTTCTTGCCAGTGTAACAGATGGTTTTAAAGGGAAAGGGTTCAGAGACAATTTTTCGTTTTGCCGACTCCAGCACTCCTGTTAGCTGCTCTCCTGCTCTATTATTACAGGTGATTATTGCTGATGTTCCCATGTGCCAGTGCACAGCACTGTTCATCGGAACAACTGTCAGTTGAGTACTTGCATCTTCCTTGTGAACGCTCTCTTCTTGCTAACTGAAAACATTCATAGCAGTAATCTGGGACAAAAATAAGAGTTGATTAAGTATCTTTTTAGAGTAGAAGAAAGAAACCATCTTTTCTACAGCACCATGCAACATTATTTTACTTTAGAAATAAAAATGTAATCTATTAAAGACCGAGGAGTGTATAAAGCCTACTTTTCAAATCAGCTTTGATTCTTGACAACAGTCTGGATGAGACCCTGCCTTTTTGCTGGCTACATTTTCGGAGATGGCTTTGACAGCCAGTATCTTCTTCCAATAGCTGAGAGTGACTGGCTCATGGTCAACCAGCTGGCTTTGAGCCTAATCGCACCCCAAACTGGTTCATGAAGACTTTCATAAATTTAGGGCAAATTACCCACACGGCCTTCAACCATACCAAAACTAAGCATCTGGAATAAGCTTGGAAAGCAATCAGTAAGCAACAAACTGTTTACATTCTAACAATATTATCCATGCCATCTTTCCTGGCTAGCAGCAATTTGTAGATTGTCTTCAGTTTAGAGAGGCAGCATGGTTGATATATTGGACCAGGAGCAGGAAAATCTAGATTTGAGTTCACTTTCAAATAGTCACTAGGGAACTTGGGGAAGTTACTTTTTCTCAGCCCAATCTACCTCACAGGAAAATAGGTAGACTTCTAATGCCTTAAGTTACTAAATGCGCCACACAATAGAAATAACATTTTGATTAATCTAGTGAGAGGTTCTAATAATACTGCACTCAAACAGTTTAGGTGGATTGGAATTTGGCTGTGATGACTTCCTGTGTCGGAAAATTATAAAATAAAATAAAAATTTGGACAACACAGTGGAGAATCCCAGGTTTCCAATTCCTTCATTGGCATTTTACAGTCTGAGATACCTAAATCTAACTACCGGTAGCTACATTCATACTAGCCTTTTATATATGACAATTCAATTGAAGCTAAACTGTGGGATAATTTCAATCAGGAAATAATTTCACATAGGATTTTAAAATTAGTGCTTTGTTTTCAAGGCAGAAGAGGACAGGGAAGGACAAGTTAGAGGATGTATGCAAAATGTATGAGAACTGAAGCCAACTAAAACCCTTTTATGAAACTACAAAAACTGGCTCTAGGGGAAGGTTCAAACACAGATGTTAAAGCTGTAGCCTTTAATTTTGTTTTTTGTTTTTAATATGGGGCACCAATTTAATTCAAGACCTATTAGCATGGCAATATCGTCAGCTCACACACCTAACCAATTGGGAGGACCTTTGTAGGGAAAAAAAACACACACTATAAAACCAGGAAAAATCTTGAAGGACAGGTGCATTTACCTGCCATAGCAAGACAAGGAATGGGGGGGGGGGGAAACCCGCCAAACAGAATCTTCACAATTGACCATTAAGGAAGGAGTTTGACAGGCTCGACCAGTCTCTACCCCCAGCGCCCTGACACCTCCAGAGGGGTTTGGGGCTACAAATCCAAACATCCTCAGCCAAGCGCTTCTATCGGCTGGGAATTCTAAGAAGGGTAAATCTCAGGCATCTGGAGGCACCTCCTATTGAGTGAATAGGTAGGTCGCTTGGTTCAAATCCGTACGGAAAAGGTTGTATTATTCTCCACACCCACTTATTGCGGGTGGAGAAAACTCGGGGAGAACGAAGGGAACAACAACAACAAAAAAAAAACCGAACGTCAGGGTCGGACCAACTCAGAGCCCACCCATGCCATCCGTCTGTTCTCACGACGCCCTTACCCGCAGAGAGGGAATCTACCCCTTGCCTGGGTCTCTGCCCCGCAGCGAGCCTAACCTCGGCGGTTCACCCCGCGGGGAAACACGCCACGCTCGGCTTATGGCGTGAAAGGAGCCAGCCTGGCCAAGCGCCCTCGTGTGAACCGAAGGCAGGCGGATGGGGGGTGGGGGAGAGAATCACCTCCTGCCGGGCGAAACGGGCTCTGGAGAGACCCCCAAACCGCCGGTCTCCCCCGCAAAACGGCAGCCCTTTCATCCGAGGGGTCCCTCCGGCTGAGCCGCGGGAGGGGAAGAGCCTTTTTCGAGATCCTCCCCGCCCCCCGCCTCGCTCCCTCGCTGTCTCCCCGGTCCCGGCTGCCCCCTTATCCGATGGCTCGCCGGCCTCCCGTCCCCGTCCTCGTCCCCACCGCCCGCTTCCCCGGCGACGGCTCCCTTTCCCGTCCCTTCCCTTCCCTACCCCGGCTCTCTCACCCTCCTTCTTCTCTGCGGTAACCACTCCACTTCAAAATGGCGACGATGGAAAGGCGGTCACGTGACCCCGCGGGGCCAGGTCAGGTGACCGGGGAGTGAAAGTTCCGTCTCTGACTTTCTCTTCTTCCTTCTCATCCTCCTCCTCCTCCTCCTCCCCCCCTCCCCGCCCAGCTGTTACCATAGAGACCGGAAGGCGCGCGAGGCCGCCCGAGCGGGAAGCGCGCGTGCGCGCTCTGTCTCCCCCTCCCTTTCCCCCTCCCTCTCTCCCTCTCTTCGCGTTCGCACGACGCTCTTAACTCGCTTCGTTGGGGGAGGAGCGAGCGGGCCCGCTTCTCTGGTACCGTGAGCCGTGCGGTAACCAGAGCTATAAGACGGGTCCGCTTTAAAAGCTATCCGAGCCTGGCGTGGGGCGTGGGGGTCGTATATTGGGGAGCCAGGTCATTTGGGTCGTGTGAACGTCCATTTCTACACCTCAAAGTGTGGGAGGGGGCACATCTTTATCTGGCAACCGCTTTTTGTTTGTACTGTACTGCTGGGGATTGGGGTTTGATCACCAGGCTGCTTGGCTTGCCTTGTGATTCTTGTAACTTGTTTTCATTTCATTTTAATTCTCTTCACTGCAACAAGAGTCACTTGTTGAGATGGGAGGTTGAATAAATCAATACATAAAATAAATAAATCCATCTCTCTTAAGCTACCATTTCCTGTCCCTGGAGAGGGGATCCTCAGTTTATCAGCCTGCCAGAGGTGGGGCTGCTATTGTTATTGCTGTTACAGGTTTACTTTGCCTCTCCCTGTGTGTGTGTGGAATAGTTAGATATTTATGTTTATGTGTGCATACACAAATGTGTGTAATGTATGTGTGTGTAGACACAGACACGTGTGTGTACATGTGTACATAAACACACTGCGCACATGTTTGAGCAGGGGATTGGACTACTAGATCTCCAAGGTCCGTCCTTATCCTATTATTCTATGTTCTACATCTGTATATGAAACTCAAGGGAGCTAATGCATCTCATATTGTAGAGTTTCTTGGGGTTCTCTTGATTTTGGTTGCTGGCTTGCAGGTGTTTCCTTACCCACCTCGGTAACATCATCAGTGCAACTAGTGTGGTCCTGCTTTCACAAGAAAGCAGTGCACGGATGACGTTACCTAGCTGGGTAAAGAAATATTTGAGGCCAATAGCCAAAATCAGAGACGGGCCTGCTTTAAAGCACTCCAACCTGAACTATGGATCCTCTTCTTCTCTTGGAAACCCTGAATACTCCTGCCTCCTGTGATTCCTACAACAGCTGGGTTGAGAGAGGCGGGGACTGGCTGAGGTGACCTTCACGCCTAAGGCAGGCCTAGAATTCACAGTCTCCCAGTTTATTCTCAAACTTCATTCTGCGTCCAACCAGTGCAAAGGAAGAAAACGTAACACCTGTATGCATGTCTTTTCCCCTTCATCATCATCTTCGTTTAACTGTATGGGACCCATAATCCCTTGCAAGGTGGAGTCTGGGCAACTGAATGGAGCTAGCAAAGTGTTTTAATGGCCGGATGCCCTTCCTGTCACCAAGGTGGAGGTTTTTTTTTTTTTTTCAGCATGCCCAGAGAAAGAAATATCTGCTTCTACCTAGGATCGAACTCATAGCCTCCTGATTTGTGAGGTGAGAATTCCACCTCTAGGCCAGCCACACCACTCTTGCTTTTTCTCCTTCATCTTGTGGGATAAAGATTTCTTAGCTTGTAATTATTCTACAAACTCTTCAACTTAGCTACCAAAGAGAAAGCATGCTTTGAAGGCGTTAAAAAAGAGTAGATGATGTAATTATTTTTAAAAATGCTGTTACTTAACGTTTTGATTTTTTTTTTTTTAAAGAATGGGCTCATAAATCTGTGAGCTCTCAAATGCATTAAAAGTCCTCCGGAATTGTTGACCTCACAGTGGTCAAGTCTTCTACTTATTTGTTGTAGCTCGGGTTCAAAATATTTTTCAGTGATTAAAAAGAATGGGGTGTCTTAGTGTTATTAATGGGATAAGTCATGGAGAATTCCTCAAGAAGCACAAAAGGAGGTAGTATATTTTATGTAACATTTGGGTTGTAAATTTCCCCCAGTGCCTACACATTTTCTGTAGTGGGGAATATGAGTGCATTGGAACTTCCTCAGCCTTTTAATCACAGGCTATTCATTTTAAATTGAACATCTAATTGGCATCTCAACAATCATAAATTTGTTTCGTGGCATATTACATAGCATGCTGCAGTGCAGTGGCCATAACTGAGTTCTTGGTATTAGGATGTTTGAAACACTTCCAAAGCCATGGCTTACCCAGTATTTAGAGGATCAGGCCCATCAGATAAAGGCCGAATGCCATGCATACAACAGAACTGGTCCTTGACTTATCACCACAACTGAACCCCAAATTTCCATGGCTAATCAAGACACTGGTTGAATTTTGCCCCATTTTACAAACTTTCTTGCCAATGCAGCTGTTAAGTTAATAACACGATTGTTAAGTGAATCTGGCTTCCCCACTGACTTTGCTTGTTAGAAGTTCACATGACTCCAGGAAACTGCAACCGTCATAAATACATGCCAGTTGCCCAGCATCTGAATTTTGGTCACGTGACCACAGGGATGCCATAACAATTTTAAGTTTGAAAAATGGCTGGTTATAAGCCACTTTGTTTCAGTGCTGTGGTAATTTTGAACAGTCACGAAATGAAAGGGTGTAAGTTGAGGATTACCTGTTCCTTTTTCCCTTGCACTGATTGGACTCAAGAGTGAGTGAGGTTTGAGGGTAACTCAACTTTAATTTTGGGATTTCTGAGGTTCATCAGCACTGCTCCACAAAAGGTTCCTCCTCCTCCTCCTCCTCCTCCTCCTTTTCTTCTCTTTTCAATTGAACAGAAATGACCCTTTAGCAAAGGACATAAATTAACAAGATCCTTATGAATTGAGCAGGTTTTTGCACTAACTTGAGTTACAAAGTAGCCCAAATTTGTTGGCTGGGTTTTTTTCGGAGCAGGAGTCCTGAGCAGCTGGTTGGGAGGTGAGTGATGGAGAGATGCATACTAGAAAAATAAAATCAAGAACAGCATTTTGAACCATTTTAAAAGCAACTCAGAAATGCTATTTAAAAAATGGTAGCTGCATGTGTGTAGGCACAATGGAAGATTTGTATTTTTGTTTCAAACATTTTATTGGAGAAAAAACATTTCCTAACACCTGGGCCTAGTAGCATCCACTGTACACTATTGGCACAATGCTCCTTCAATGAAATAGTTTTGCAAATAAGTGCAAAAACCTCTTCTTTATTTATCCCTAATTGCTTTCATTAGCTGTTTGTGACTTATTAGCAGCCTCTAAGAAAAGAAACCTTCCTGGACTTTACCAACTGTCCAGGTTTAATGTCCTAGAGTTCATTGCAATTCACTACACATCTCCAAGTGATTTTTTAAAAAAACTTACCTAATTTTTCGGGTTAATTTAGATATAATTTCCTCTTGCTGTCTTAACTGCTAGAATGCATTGCTCCTCCAGTAGTAAAGACTGTGCTCTGTATAAAAGAAGCCCGTCTTTTTGAGCAGGCACGCTGAATCACTTTGAGATTTTATAAGGTGACATATTTTCACAGGGCCTCTCCATGTACACACTCGATCGGTGCCACTAAAATGAGCTGGATAGGAGCGAGTGAAAATAAAGCCGGACACTTTTCTTCCGAGACCTTGAGGTGGCAGCAACACTACGTTTAACTTCTGTCATACATTTGGAGTGAGAGGTTGTGTGTGTGTGTGCGTGTGTGTTTAAAAAGCACTAAATCAAAACAACCCTATTTGTTATCATTTTATAGCTTGCTCTTTAAGTCAGTAAAAACTTGTCTCGAATGTCATTTGCATTATATGCAATTTTTACTAGTTTATCAGATACGTTTTAAAAGCATGTCGAAGTAGGCTAAATGTAGATATAAGCTGTAAAAGCTGGCAGCATGTCAAATGTTATAGTAAAATGAAAAGCACTTTTTGGGAAAGCACAGTTCTAAAAGAAACTTTCCAAAGGATTTGATAGCGCCTCAAATGCCTCGACTAACCACGCTTAATCTTTTCTTGAAGACATTCGGCGAATTCCACTGATTAATTGTTCACTGTCCGGAAATTTTTCCTTAGTTCTAGGTTGGATCTCTCTTTAACGATCTTCCACCTGTTGCTTCTTGTCCTGCCTTCAGGTGCTTTAGAGAATAACTCAACCCCCACACCTCTGTGACTGCCCCTCAGGTACTGGAAGACGGCTATCCAGGGGTGGGATTCAAATTTTTCAATGGCCGGTTCTGTGGGCGTGGCTAGCTGGGTGTGACTATGTGACTGGGTGGGTGTGGCCTTTTTGGGGGGGCAGCAAACCCTCCCCCCAGATTTTTGAGCCTTCTGGGTTTCAGGAAAGCCGCCTGGAGGGGCGTTTTTGCCTCCGGGGGGGGGGGGGGCAGGCGTTTTTCCCTGGGGCCCAGGAAGGCAAAAAATGGAGCGCATGAGGTGTGTGATGCGCCCCTCTCCATGTTTTGACTTCCTGAGCTTCAGGGAAGCCTCCTGGGCGAAGCGGTACAACAGGAAGGGAATCCCGGCACAGCTGATCGTAGGAACAGCTGATGTCCGGAAGGGGAAAACAAAAGAAATGCTTCGTGGAGTGACTGGGCAAGGAAGGACCCAGTCAGCAATGCTGGGCATGTGCACGATGCTGACTGGGTGGGGAGGGGAGGGGCCTGCCAGGGGCAAGATTTGCCGGTTCTCCGAACTGTGCAGAATCATAACCGGTTCTATAGAATTGGTCCGAACCGGTAGAATACCACCCCTGTAGCTATCATGTCAACCCTAATCCTTCTCTTTGCCATATTAACTCAATACAGCACAAATGAATCCTATAGTCTGGATTTTTCTAGACTATTTTGCTAAAATAGTTTTTGGTTCAGTATGTATTGCTCAATATTTTTCTCCTTTCATGACACATGAGGCCTTTGGTGTCCTCAAGTAGCCACCCTCCATAGTGCCACACTTTCCAACAGGAAA